ACATGGAGCCAAGGGGTTCTCTGGGGCTCCAGAGCCAAAGCACATAAATGTGTAATTCAAAGAATAAAAATGGCATGGTCTTACTTCTGATTTCCATAGAAACACGAGTACAAAAATAAGCAGTAATAAAAAGTGAGTGTGAATAATACAGGTTGCAGAAGGTAGCTTGTAAATAGCTGATAAAAGTCTCTCAATCAGAAGAAAAAGATATTTCAACTCTTTAAAAGACCTAATTATCTGGCTGATTTCTATAAGGTGAGAAATCTTGCTCAATTAATTCAAAAACTGGAAATCAACTACAGTGCACCCCAAAAATATGGTTCTGAGAACCCTTTCGTTTAATTTTCAGCCCTGAGTTTTATCACAGACTATTATGACTCTTACCAAATGGCTGATTAAAATGTAAAACAGCAGAGTAAAATCTATCCTAGCAACAGTGGCAGTTGAGAGACAGAACTGGGAAGACATTGAGTTCTTCCCAGTAGCCAAGGCCTAGAATAGAGGAGCCAATGGCAAGTGCCTGATGGAACTCACTGTCAGCAAAGAAGGTTCTCAAGACTAGGCAGAGAGCCCCAATACTCAGAAAGCAACATCTCCCCTACCCCCAGCCCTGTTCGACAAAAAAGTTTATAGATGAGTGATGTTCTTATTTCAGTACATGGATGGCATTAGATTATTATGGAGCTGAGCATTTAGAAACTAAACACAATTCATTCTGTTTTGTTCCAAAAGCAGATTCTCTTTGGGTGACTGTATTCAGATCCAGTCTGGGCTTGTTGTTTGGGCTTGGGGGACCAATAGTAACAGGGCTAATGCTATTAGGACACTAAAGTTGTCACTGCCACAGGGATGTACTGCCTACTAAAATATAAGATCAAACTAATGGCTCATGCAGCAGGAAGAAGTAATGAATTACTTATTGGTCACATATCTTGCATTTCTAAGCTTTACTTGTAGAACAAGTTTAGAACTTTCTCCCCAAGAAGCAGATGCCTAACCTTCCTCTTTATTTGGTGGGAAAATTAAATTAACTTGTAATTTCTTGAGCTCAGAACAAAACATGGTGATGGTGATTGTCAGAAATATAAAAAAATACTAGATGTAATCATTTATCAGTGATTCTTTTTTATTTGGCCTTACTAGAGTTTGAACTCAGCTTCAAGCTTGCTAAGCAGGCATTCTACCACTGGAGCCAACCCTTAGCCCCATTTAATTATTTGTGATAGAGTCTCAAGTTTTTCCCCCGGGTCAGCCTTTTACAGTGGTTCTACCACCTAAACCTCCTATGAAGCTGGTACCATAGGCACACACCATGTCCAGTTTATTTGTGGACATGAGGTCTTGCTAATTTTAATAGCTTCAACCTTTAACAGATATTCCTCTTATCTCTACTTCCCAAATAGCGGGGGTTACAAGCATTTTATGAGCCAAACTAAACCAGTGAATTTTAGTTGTTTTGTGTGTGTGTGTGTGTGTGTGTGTGTGTGTGTGTGTGTGTGTGTGTGTGTGCCAGTCCTGGGGGCTAGAACTAAGGGCCTGGGTGCTGTCCCTGGCAGACTTCGAACCATGATCCTCAGGTCCCAGCCCCCTGAGTAACTAGGATTACAGGTGTGATCTACTGGTGTCTAGCAAACCAGTGAATTTTAAACTTGATCCCCATCCTCCTAAATACAATCACACAATCACCTTTACATCAAAGTAGTTTTTTTGTTTGTTTGTTTTTGCCAATCCTAATAGATTGGTTTTTTTTGTTTTGTTTTGTTTTGTTTTTGGTCAGTCATGGGGCTTGAACTCTGGGCCTGGGCACTGTCCCTGAGCTCTTCAGCTCAAGGCTAGTCCTCTACCACTTGAGCCACAGAACCATTTCTGGTTTTCTGGTGGTTAGTTGGAGATACAAGTTTCATGGACTTTTCTGCCAGGGCTGTCTTTGAACCGCAATCCTCAGATCTCAGACTCAGTAGCTAGGTTCACAGGCATGAGCCACTGGCGCCCAGCTTTTAATAGATTCTTTTAATCTAACACTTTGTTCTTTCTCTAAATTCTTATTTAAAGTTAAAAAGCAATACCAAGTCATCTGTCAGAAAGCTGAGAGACCTAAATAGCCAAAACAATCATGGAAACAGAAGTACAGATTTGTATTGCTCAGACGTCTGTCTTCAAAACTCACTACAAAGCTACCATATCAAAAACAATACTGGAATAAAGGCAAATATATAGACCACTGGACTAGAATAGTCCATAAATAAATTCCCATGTATATGTTCAAATAATTTTTTACAAAGGTACCAGTCATTCAATGGGGAAAGAACCATCCTTTTAACAAATGGGAAACTAGATATCCACATGTGAAAAAAATTGAAGTAAGGTTGGGAACCAGTGGTTCACATCTATCTTCCTAGCTACATGGGAGGCTAAGATTGTTGAGATCATTATCCATTCTCAACCAAATGGCTGGATATGGTGGCATATGCCCGTTATCCTAGTTACCAAGAAACCTAACATAGTTAGGTCATACCCAGGCACTTTCCTGTGCATGAAAAATAACCAGCAAAAATCATTGCTGGGGGTATGGCTTTATGGGAAGATTACCTACTTAACAAGTGCAAGGACCTGAGTTCTAAATGTAGTACTGCTTTTTCAAAAAATGAAGTTAAACACTTACCTAATGCCATATACAAAAATCATCTAGAAATGGAACAAAGACTGAGACTTAAGATCTTAAATTATAAGCATATTAAGGATATTGGCTTTGGCAGTGATTTCTTGAATATGATACTAAAATCATGAACAGCAAAAAAAAAAAAAAAGGTAAACTGGACTTTATCAAAATGCCTCAAAGGATACTATCAAATGAATGCAAAGGATACTATCAAATGAATGCAGAGGCAACTTTTGAAACAGGAGGAAATGTAAACAAAATGTGGAATGTGTATATGTTGGAATATTATTCAGTCTTTAAAAGACAAAATAATTCACACATGGATACAACATGGATAGACCTTAAAATACTATACTAAGTGAAATTATCCAGTTGTAAAAGAATAAATTATTGTGCTATCCCACTAATGTGGGGTTTCTAGCCTAGTCATATTTATAAGGACAGAGTAGAATTGCAGTTGCTAGAGGAGGAGAATGCAGAGTTGTAGTTTAACTTTAGGGGTGAGGAATCTTTTATCTGCCAAGGGCCATCTGGGTATTTATAACTAGGCCATATGAAACTATGAATACCAGTACATGGGCTACAGGCAGCCAATGAAAAGCCTACATGTATTTCTCATCATGTACGAAATGGTTTCTTGGCTCTTATATACCCTGTAGACTGAAACTTTCTGACCCTAAGTATGTATAGAATATCAATGTTGGTTTTAGAAGACAAAAACATCTGGAGGTCAGCAGTGGTTAGTTATACTTAATGTGCATATGCTTAGTGCAACAGAACTGTGTGCTTAAAAATGTCAAAACTGGGATATTTTATTATATTTTTCCCACAATAGAAGAATAGAAAATAAGTAAACATAAACAATGAGTGAATGCATTATTAGGAAGAAGTTAAAGTTCAATAATAGAGGAACAGGAATGATTAAATTATGATTACCCACTTGATGAGCTATTTATGTAGCCAAAAGGACTTATTCATGGTGGCTACATGGAAAATGCCTGTGATATAGGGTTTAATGTATGTAGAGTTTCAGAAAAAATAAAAGGACTGAAAGGAAATAATCTATCTGTTTAAAAAAGTTACATTAGGGGGCTGGGAGGGTGGCTCAGAGGTAGAGTGCTTGCGTCACATGCATGAGGCCTTGGGTTTGATTCCTTGGCACCACATAAACAGAAAAGGCTGGAAGTGGCACTGTGGCTCAAGTGGTAGAGCACTAGCCTTGAGCTGAAGAGCTCAAGGACAGTGCCCAGGCCTAGAGTTCAAGCCCCACAACCAACCAAAAAAAAAAAAGTTACAGTAGGATGGTGAGGTTATTTGCTTTATTTTCATCTACTTCATCTTTAATAGAAAATTAGTTTACAATCAAAAATTTAAAAGTGACAGAAAACATTTTAATATTTTAATATTAATATAAAACATTTTAATATTTATCATTACCATCCTTTATAGTAATTATCCTTTGTTTTAGTAATTATCTATAAAATACAAATAGTTGGATATTTTAAGGCTTTTGCAAAGTAGTATATATATCAAAGAAGAAAGTCATTAAGGTTCCTGGAAAATCTCAGTTTCCTTCTCTGCTTCAAAAGTCATTCGGGATGCAGGTCACTGAGCAGAGGACAGGAAGACGAACACATCTGAAGGAAGAAACTTTTCAGAGTATGTCATGAGTTTGTCAACAAGCAAAGACAACTTCCTAGAGGCAAAACTGCAGGCTTTGACAGATGCCTATCTAGGCTAAAGCAGATATAGCTTGCCAAATGGGGCAGCCTATAAAAGTGAGTTCTAGAATGAGGACAATGATTCTAAGTGGGTTATTCTCATCCATTTATCATCTCTCCAAGTTCATTTCGTCGTCTCCCACAAACTCCACATGGGCCCTCCATCCCAGTGAATGAAAATACATCAGAATGAACACCCCTGGGGTTCAGATGGTGATGTCTTTAGAAGGACAGGCAGAGGTGGGGAGAGTGGGTAGCAGTGTTATACAACTCTGTAGCCACTCATTGGAAAGCTGTAGCATCTTTACCCATGAATCAGAGCAGCTCACAGGACAGGCATCTTCCCAGAAGAGTGGCACAGGGATCCTATAGAGGGATCACAGGATCCCAACCTCTGTGCTCCTTTCTGTTGGGTCTTGTTGTTATTAGGTTCCAGAAGACTCCTCCAGTCTGTCTTCTAGATTCACCGTTCATGTGGACCTTGCCACAAACTATTCAAATAAATTCAGTTCCATTTCCATAATGCTCTTAAAATCTGGTTTGAAGAAACATTCTCAAGATCCAGTTTGTTTCTCTTCTACTCAACCATTGTGGACCATTCTGTTTCTCATTAATGCTAGGTGGTTCGAGATCAGATCTCTCACTGCACAGTGAAATTACGCCAGACCACAGGTCTCATGGAATATTGCTTGGAGGTGATTAAGGAAAATGACCCCAGTGGCTTTTTGCAGGTAAGTAGCTTTGGCCTCAGATTCCAGTTGGCCTATGGGACTGAGTGTAGGGCACATAAATGGGACATCCAACAGTGCTGGCAAAGCATAGGTACCTCGATAAAAGGACCTGAGTTCATGCTGCACTAGGTATGTGGGTACCTGCAAAGCAAACTCCACTGACTTCCAAGGAGTGCTGATAAGGTTGAGAAATGGAGGTGATTGTTCTTGTGTTTAATCATGAAACATAATCCCCTTTAAGTTCTTCCTGTGTAGAGTATTGCTTTGCCTAAGAACTGGCACCCATTATATCTCCATACCATCTCGCGGACAGCTTTTCAGCCAACAACATTTGAATGTGCAAGGTTTCAACCTCCTTGTCACTTCCTACTGGCCAGTAAGTCAGTGATTTCTAAAATGTAGGGAAGGCTTTTTTGTTTTGCATTCTCACTTTTTTCAGTGTTAACTGTTTTAACTAAATGCTAAGATGATGTATGCTAGATTTCACTTAAGTTTGAAACCTATGATATGGAACCTTTTGTTAAGGGACTTGTAGATTCTTATAGCTCACACTCTATTAAACTGATCAATAATGAGAGGGCCACTGAATGCATGCAATGAAAGGCTCCTTCAAAGAATAAAAGTCATAACTACAAAAAGATGGCGTGTTAAAATGTAAGAAATTCCATATGCAAACCACTTGAAGCTAATTTGTTAAACTCATTTCCAAGTCTTAGAAGGCTACCCATAGCTCAAAATGGAAGCCTCAATCTGTATCTTGTAATAGGATTAATCACTAGCATGACATTATTCTTTACAGTTGTTGGATTTTAGGGGGAAAGTCATAAATCTCATGATCATATATCCACATTTGTCTATAAGATCAACGAACACTTCCTAATTATAGTGTCCTATCTCTCACTCACCTAAGTATTTAGATAAATTGTGTATCATTCTAGTCAGCTAGGATCCTCTTCATCAATAGCTATGAGACAGGAGGTTGTAAATCCCAAGGAAGTGGTCGTTGCATTCCCAAAGAGACAGTCAAGGAACCATCTTGTGGTCCCAGGGTGGTTCTGCATTTCTTAGGCTGTGGTCTTTGATGTGTATAGATTTCTGATGCCCTCATAAGAAGAGTGCACCTGACTGAGGATCAGTGGGGGAAAGGCACACTCACCCCCAGGATGACCACCGACTTCGACTTGAGTCTGGACAACAGCCCTTTGCTACAGTCTATTCACCAGCTGGACTTTGTACAGGTGAAAGGTATGTGCTTGCATTGCCTAGTCAGAGAGCATCATCCCTCATAGATGGTGGTGCTTGAAGCAGGGTCAGTTACCCCTGTGATGAATGTTACAGAAATCTGAAGTGACTCCTATCTCATCAGGTAATGAAACTGTCTCCTTGTGGCTGTGTCATCTACCTCTGAGCATATCAGATAAATTCAGATAAAACTCTACATTTGATTCGGAGAATCTTAGCTTCCACATACTCAGCAACAGAGAACAGCTGACATGAAAAGAGGCAAGGATAAAAAGAACATCACTGCACATAAAGAAAGCCTTTATGTATAACAAGGGGACTGGCGAAGATGTAAGAGATGGTGGAGAATGATGGAAGGGGTGACCTTGATCAAGATGCATTGTACCCATAAATTGGCATGTTGAACTGAAACCACTTTGTACAACTACCTAAAGATTAAATAAATAAATACATAGTTGTTTTAAAAAGGAAAAGAAAGAAAACTTTATTACACATAGTAACCAGAAACAGTGATATAAATGAGGGAGTCCAGAGTTAACTATCTTCATGTAAGATAAAGATAGTAACATTTGGGCTTGGATCTATGAGAATTTGAGAGAATCACAACTGGCCTTTGATCTGGCAGGAAGTACAAGCCTGGAAGGGAAAAGAAACTATGAGATAAATTTTAAAAGTAGTTTATATAACTGAGGAATACAACAAAGTCTCTTTGAGATTCTGAGGGATGAAGACTAAAGGGAAGTACAAGTACTTAATTTAGTTTAAGAAAATAACTCATTCAAAGAAAAATGAAAATTCAGACCAACTGTGCAACAATACTTTATGATAGTATTGTTAATGTCCATTGGAAGAATATTTTTTTCTCATCCTTGATTTCAAAACATGGATCCACAGGAAGTTACAAAAATAGCAAGGAAAAGTCCTCCTGCTCTTTCATAACTATAATATGCCAAAACCAAGAAGCTGACATTTGTACAGTCTATGTAAAGTCCTGTGCTATTTTATAACATGTAGATTCATAAAACCACCACAACAATGAGCACAAACAACTATGGGAGAGCTGAGCAATGCCATAATCCCAGCAATTAGGAGACTGGAGCAGGGTTGTGAATTTAAGGCCAGCCTTGACCGGCTTAGGACAAACAAAAGAACAACCAGTAAATGTTTTCCATTTATTTCTCCCCTCCACCAACCTCACTCCATCTCTACCATTGAATCATCTTATTTTTAAAACTAAAGAAAATGACTCAGAATTCAGAGCATTAAAATTTTTTGTTTCTAGCTGGGCACCAGTGGCCCACACCTGTAATCCTAGCTCTGCAGGAAGCTGAGATCTAAGGATCACAGTTCAAAGCCAGCCCGGGCAGAAAAGTCCCCATGAGACTCTTATGTCCAGTTAACCACTCAAAAACTGGAGGTGGGGCTGTGGCTCAAAGTGGTAGGGCTAGCCTTGGGCAGAAAAGCTCAGTGACACTGCCCACCCAGGCCCTGAGTTCAAGCTCCACAACTACCCAACTCCCCCCCCCAAAATAGGAAGCAGAGCTTTTCCCAAAGAAACAACATTTTTTAGGTTCGAGACCACAACACAAACTTGGCCACTTTGCGCATTGGCAAGGCCACGCCTTCAACGTCAGAAACAAAATTTTTTCCAGTTATGGGGCTTGAACTCAGGGTCTGGGCGCTGTCCCTGAGGTCTTTTGCTCAAGGCTAAGCCCTACCACTTTGAGGAACAGCTCCACTTCCAATTTTTTGAGTGGCTAATTGGAGACAAGAGACTCACAGGTACTTTTCTGCCCTGGCTGGCTTTGAACCCTGATCCTCAGATCTCAGCCTCCTGAGTAGCTAGGATTAGGGGTATGAGCCTCTGGCACACAGCAGTGCTCTCTCTCAGACATGGAGAACCAGGTCACCTAACAAATTTTAGGGCTATTAGATCTAATGTTCCATAGTCAAATTCATCCTGCTAGTTGTCATATGTACTTCTTTCATCATTTTAATGTATGTTTGCTCTCATTTATTTTCAATTTTCTCATCTTTTGTTTAACAAGGATTGCTTTGGGAAGATGTCTTAACCAATTTTTGAAGTAGTTGATACATGATAAATTAAAATGCTTTTATTTTGCAATAGTAACCAAAAAAATGTTGAGCATTTATTGAGTGCTAACTGAGCCAGATCCTCCTCTTCACCAAGTGCAGAGAAGTTTTACATATGGTTCCTCATTTTATTCGACAGCACTAGTAGTCAGCTTAAGACACTGAGACACAAGAACCCTGAACTACCTGCCTGAGGCTCACACAGCTAGTGAGTGGCAAGGCCTGGATTCACACACAGAAAATTAATTCAAGAACACACTCATACACCTTCTAGTTTATTCTGTGAAACTAGGGCCATCCTATGTAGCTCTTCCTGGGAATTCCTTCTATACACTTAATAAAAATAATTCCTTTTGTATACTTAATGTGTATCTCTTAATGGGAATTCCTTTTGCATCCTTAACTCCTTTAGCACACTTAATACTGTTTAAAATTTTTTTCCTTCACACCTATACACTAACCTAATATTTAAATCCATCCCTCATAGAATTTAGAGTCCCAGGAAATCCTTATTTTAGTCTCCAAGTTTTGCAATTAAATATAATCAAGTTACAAGTAACTTGGAGGAAGAAATATGTAACAAAAAGAAGGAAACATATAAAGACTTGATAGAAAAGAGAAAAATGAGCTAACCTAATTAGCCCTGGTAAGGAAGCAGAAGAGGGCAGTCGGAGGGCAGGGGCCTAAGGGCTTTGAAATGCTTTGATCAGCTGACTGAGCTCCCCATCTGCTACATTCATTGCCCTTCAGAGTTCTGTCCATTTAAGCATGGTGAAGTCCAGGCCAGTTGGCAGGATGGCACCAGTTATATTTGAAAGAGCAGGCTATTCAACTGATATAAGGACTGCTGGTCCATGTGCCCGCTGGCACCACAGACACATTTCTAAAGCACTGTTGTTGGGCCACTTGACACAGAAGGTAAGAGTGAACGCAGCTATGTGTTCAGGCTGTTAAAGTCTATACATATAGCAAAGAATGCCAAATACTCTAAAGATCAAAATGCAGAACATTTTCACAGCAACAACTCAACCTGGAACACAGAATATCCAGCACAAGTATTTATGAAGTTCATAAAACAGACCATTTGGTATGAGAGTAGATTAATCTATTTTCAGTTTAACACTTCATCTTAATATAATTTACTTCTGCTTATTATCACTCTTCATTGTTAATTTATGTGTTTTGCTTTGGGCTCATTAAGTTTAATTAATTCAGTGAGAGCCCAGTCCTCCTTGGACTCGGCATAATTTTTACCTGTCCTGCTTGTGATGGAAAGAAAAAGCCAAAGGTCATGGTACAATAGACTTGATTGGCTGTAGTTTGAAATTTCCTACTGGCCTCTATAGTATCTGTTAGCACATATACAGTTGTCCTAGTACAGTGTGACTTTTCTCATTCTTAGTTTAATGAACTACACTTTCCCAATCTGTCAGTAAAAAATATCCCAATGAACTGCACCCTAAATCTGTACAAATGGCCAAAATTAAGTAGCATTTGGAATGCTGCTAATTGAAATCTGGCCACTTGAATGTAACTATAAAGGTAATTTTATATGTTTTCTAATTGTCCAAAGTGAATTAGAGTATAAAGTTAAAATATTTTCAAAATTGCTTAACAGATACATTTAAAGAAGTATGTTTACTGGTTTACTCAAAAACTATCAAGCTTTTTTTTATTCTTGTTGTTTTTATTGTTGAAACTAAAAAAGACAGGTCAGCTGTTGGTTTCTACATATTTCTGTTTAGGTTAGCTACTCTTTTTTCAAGAGTCTAAAGTTATTCTCCTACTAACTAAGGGTTTAACTGGTCTGTTCTTTCTGATCTCTATCACCCCCAACAAGTGAGAGCTATCTGGAGAATATTGGTACTTTCTTTATTCTAATAACCCTAAACTTTAATGGCATGTTTTCTGGCTATATCTTGACTAGGAAATCTTTATATAGCTGGATATACTGATGGCTCACACCACCTGTAATCCTAGCTACTCAGGAGGCTGAGACCTAAGGATTGTGGTTTGAAGCCATCCTGACAGAAAAGTCTATGATACTCTTATGTCTAATTAAGCAATGGAAGTAGAACTTTGCCTCGAGTGGTAGAGTACTAATGAGCATAAAAGCTCAGGGATAGCACCCAGGCCTCAACCCCCAGAAGAGAGAGAGAGAGAGAGAGAGAACTACTCTTAACCTTTCTTTTTAAATAGAAAACAACATATGAAATTATCTTCTGGCTTTGTTACAAAGTAATTTAAAATTTTCCCCTTAATTCTAAGTTGATATTGTCAACTCTTCTCTCCAGCTTAAGGAGGGAATTTTAAGTCAATTCCTAGTTTACCAAGAATTCAGATATCTATATCCTCCCAGAAGAATATTACCCTAGGATTGTGTATAAGTAAGTTCACAGAATATCCCAAATATGAGTTGTAGTGCTAATATCTAGTGTCAGCATGTTCATGTTGAGCCAGGGCAACACAACCTAAAACTTCACCAACCCTTTTTAGCACTGGACCAAATGGCTATTAATTTCTTTAAGTGCCTCTATTCTTGTATACCCACCCCTAAGGGCAAATTTATCTTCATTAACTCATCTTGAATACAAGAGCATTTTGTACCAAGGTCATAAACTAGATATTCTTATAAATACTAGCAAAGGAGCTGCGAGATATGGGTGAACATGCATGCACACATAATCTGTTCATGTAAGGAAGTTGTCTTCAGAACATAGGTTGATGTTCATCATTCACAGTGGGCCAGTGATGGCCTTCCAGGAATGGCCTGAAGTAAATCTAAATGCCATTCCTATTGTCCAGCCTAAATAGAGACGAATGACAGTCTACAGAGGAGCTTTCAGAGAGGGTGCAGTAAAAATCATCCAGTAAATAACATGCAGATGCATACACTATAGCTCTGAAGA